AGTGGCTTGGACAAAGGTAGAATAGATGGAGCTTGGAACTTAAATGGTTCTAGCTTCTTGACTTGCTTGCTCTGTTTGCTGTCTTAGCGATGTCTCAGAGTGAGCATTTCCAAAATGCAGCTACTGAGTTCCTACCTCTGCCCCCAACCATTGCTCCCCTTACCCTCCTCATGTCAATAAATGACATTGTCACACACGGCTCTTGAGCCCACCTTTGTGCTGTCTGGAGTCCACCCATTTCCTTGCTCCTCCTCTTTGGCCAGCTTTCTTTCATCTCTCCTGGTCTGTGGCAGCGTCCTCCAGCCGCTCGGCCCTTTCCCTCTGGCCCTTTGCTTCTGTTCTCCATGTGGAAGGACATGCAGGCCTAAGAAGAATGCTATGTCACTCTCCTGCTTAAAACCCTTGGGGGTTTCTCACCACAGTCAGAATGTCAGACCAACTTGGACTGCAGGCAGAAAAAACCTCTTAGCAAAGCTGTATTTCCTTCTCTGCCTTCATCTAAGCTCACTTTTTAAAGACCCCACTGAAGCACAAGAAGTAGCCCACACAGACACCATCACATCCTGGGTTGGTTTGTTTTCCTTTTTTAAAATATCCACTTCAGTGTTTCTGGGTTTTTTTTAAGTAATCATCTCTAATAGTTGGTTTTCGTAATCTGGACCCATGGAGAAACAGGTAACATTTTTAATCAGTTGTTTCATAGCTGCATAACGGGACCCTGGCTTCTAAGCCTGAAGTAGTGGGACCATGACTACTTCTATCCTTCCTCTGTGCTCAGCCATTTTTGAGTCTGTTATAACATCCCCACTTTCTGCCACCAAGTTCCATATCAGGATTGGGCAATGAGAAACCCAAAACAAAACTCTAAAGGGCCTTGAAGAAATCTTCCGGTTTCCCCTAGGAGTGCAGAGGTGGGCAGGCTGCAGGGTGACCACCTGAGCTGCTCGGCACACTTGTTAAGAAGCCATCTTTTGCCTCTGCCATCCTCAGTGTCCATTCTGCCCCAGGCTGACTTCACTGCAACAGGCTGTAGATGACAGTTTGGGGCAGTGTCCAGATCCAGCAGTGTCAGGGACAAGAAAGCCTGTCTGGTGTTTCAGGAGCAAACCCTTCCCAGAAGCTTCCTCAGCTGACTCACATCTCAGTGCCTAGGGGTCAGAATCAGGTCACCTGCCCATTCCTGACCTAATCACTAGTAAGGAGGACAGCCTCAGAGAATCTAGACTGGCTTTCCTGGAGCCTGGGATGAGGTCAGCTTCCTCTGATGGGCATGGCTTGTGCAAGAAATAAACACCTAAGGTGTTGGGACTCCTTCGAGAAGGAGAGCTCCCAGTGCCTGACTGTCCAGTGTCTGGATAGCTCCCATTAGTCAATGAATTGAGCATACAGTGTCTCCTACATAGTAGACACACTTAGTACTTTCTGTACATTATTCCCTCTAGTCCTCACAGTAAGCCTGGAGAAGGAGATGATGGAGCTATGCTCAGGAGCTCACAGAATAGAGCTTGGGTTACAACTCAAGTACCATCCCCAATTCCATGGTATTTCCACTACCACCATGTGAACAATTGGAGCTAGAAGCCTTAAAAACAAACGTGCATTTGTTAAGTACAGAACGCTTAGAATGCTTTTAGCTTTCCCTAGCCATGGCGTTCTTCAAACCAGATTTGGCTTCCAATTAGAGATCTGTAATTAGATAGGACTGAGGGTGGCAACTAGAATTCTTCATTGCTCTCCTCCTGGGTACTCTCAAGGTGCTTCTGGAGCCTCAGTGGCTTCTTGGAACATGCTGAAGGCATCAGCAGCTGCAGGCAGCCCTGGTAGCTCTGGACTCCTTGGTGTTAGGGCAGCCTAAGTGCCCTCTGGGTCACATTTATCTCAAAGGGGATTTTGAGGATTGCACAATTGTTCTGTAATTAGTGCTTTTGACTCTGCCAAGAGAGGTGAAGAAACAGCCCTGAAAAGATAACCATCTCAGCATGGGGCTGCTTGGGTAGAGCCCAGGACTTGTGGGGAAGACCCTGGGGTTCTGCTGATTGTATTTAGGCCTCACAAGACCTTTCCTATCTCTACAACTTCTTTTGTTTCCATGTAGTTCCTGAGCAATCCTCCTGGAACCCCAGCTCTTGGAGGAGTTACACAGAAGCAATCTGACTATTGCCTTGGTAGCCCTACAAATCACCTTGGTGTGTCAGCCCAGCTGCCTCGCTCTTTTCTTAACTTGTCTTAAGTTTTTCTTCACTTTTCTTAACTTGCTTTCATATATCATTTGCATGTATCATGTCCCCTATTCAGAACCTTCCCTACCTGTTTGTGTTTATTAAATCACCATTCTTCAGCACAAGACTTTTCAAAAAACTCCTCAGATATCCAGGCCTGATAGGGATTTCTTCCTTTCATGAACTTTGTAACATTACTATGTTCACAAGTTGTGTGGCATTTATATCCACTAACTTGTGGTGTGAGGCTTTTGCTTTGCTTTGTTTTTGTGTGTGGGTGTTTTTTTTGACCATGCTTTAAGCACCTGAAGGATAATTACCTGGCTCTCCAGAGTGCTTGGGTGCCTCTCCACTTTCCAAACCGAATCCTAGTGGGGAGAGACAGACAGACAGACAGACAGACAGACATGCCAGTTGACAAAGCCCTTTGGAGTAGCTCATTTAATCCTCACTTTGTGAAGGCAATACATGTGTTGTTTTCTCCACTTTACAGATGGAATGTCAGTCTCAGAGCTTAAGTGAATCTTCTGAGGTGACAGGGTCAGCAAATGGTAGAAACAAAGCTTGGAGCTCAGGTTTTCTAAATTCTATGCTCTCTCCACTGTACAAGGTAGTATTAAGCAAATGCCACATTTATTGGACACATAATAAATGTGACAGAAGCTCAAAGGCAGAGGATTATGTGCATTGGAGTAGTTAAGGCTCTCTGGAGAAGATGAAAATGAAGCTGGCTCTTGAAAAGGTGACTGGATGTAGAGAGGATGTGGACGAATGGCAAGTGGGTCACCCACAGGCAGGGCATCTGAATGTGAGGAGACAGCCGGACAATTCCTGGGAGGCAGCGGGCAGTGAGCTGAGAGAGGCATCACGGAGCCACGTCTGGGACAGCCTCTGAGAGAGCTATGCTTTTAGTTGAATATGCTACTCTGTGTGATCCTAAGGGTCTGGCTAGATCGATTTGTGAAGCTTTCTTCTTATGCACACCAGGAATAGGGGGTGGGGCTCTTATGAACAGACTTCCTCTTACAAGATGATTGCTCAGCCAAGGAAGTGACATTCCCTTGAAGCAACCAAGGAGCAGCTCTGTCAGAACGAGAACTGCTTCTGAGGACAAGGAAGGGCCAAAGGGGGGTAGAGTTGGGGTACTTGTGAGCCCTCCGTATTTTCCCCTGTATCTTCATGCCAGTAGTGGGGCCTTATCTTACCCAGTCAGAGCTCTGCATCAGCTGAGAAACCTGGTGGGGCTGTGTGTCCAACTAATGTCATTGAACAGTTTGGAGACTCAGACCCTTAGATTGGGTTTCCAGCTGTTTGGCCTAACATCTTTAGGGTATGGAATTCAGCATGGTTCTAGAAGTGTCTAGGTTCTACCTGTGGCTTGAATTGAGACTTTAAGATTTGAGCTTGTTATTCCCTTTTCTGAGTTACTCAGTGCCGTGAATAGTAGCCACCCATCGATGACCTTGCATTTCTGTACCCATAGTATTTCAGGATGTCTGGATGCAGTCCCTGGGTGCTGGGCCTTCAGCAGGTATGCCAGTCCAGGTGGGCTGCTTGAGTCCCATCTCAGAGTGCTAGTAGAGCTCTCACTGTTTTCTTCCCTAAGTCAGGTGGCTGGTCACAAACATCCCTTATTTTCCTTTTTTATAATTTTCAGTACCCTCCCTAGAGCCAAATTCTGTCCATTAGGAACTTTCCAGTGACAATGTCAACTGGATTTTTTGTAAGGAAAAAGGAGAGTGTACTAGGAGAATGTTGGGGGCTCACAGAGTCACCGAAGTTGGAGGATTCGGTTTGGAAAGTGGAGAGGCACCCGAGCACTCTGGAGAGCCAGGAAGCGGGCAGCAGTGCAGCTCTTTCTACGCTTCTGGGCAATACCCTGTACGTTCTGTGTGCCCAGCACTCCATGTTGAACAGCTTCTGAGTGCTAGCTTGGCCAGGGCATCTGATCGGCCCAGGTCAGGGCCCAACCCTGGAGGGAGCAGGCAGAGGGGATCTCAGCCTGTCCGCATTAGTAGTAATGAGATGCTCTGATACAGTGGTGGTCCTCAAAACTGGACAAGAGGCAGTGTTATGTTCCAGATAGCCCAAAAAAACAAAAGTTGCATGGATGGATTTATAGACAAGCCCTTAAAATATGGCGCCATTGTATATTTATAAATTCTGGGAAAATAGTCACACGTTGCATTCTTGATATATTCTAGGCAATGTGAGGTACTGGGGATACTGTGCTTTGAATCAGGCTGGTCCTGCCTTCAAGGGACACTGGCTTGTGGGAAAACAAACAACTCAGGATTCTCAGCTACATTCTTGAAATTCTGAGGCCGGGACGTGGCAGTCCTAGCTAGTAGTGGAGGGTCCTCAATGAAGGAAGTGGATCAGGCAATTACAAATATGGAAAGACACTTACACTTGTTTTTCTGGTCCCTGTTTTCTTACTCCTACTGTCTAGGATTAGGCCCATGATTTTATAAATAAATATTGCAAATAGGAAAAAGACAGAAAGAGAAGAACAATGCTGGGGAAAAGCAGCATGTGTACCAGGCACACCTGGGCCATCACCTGCCACTTACTGTTTCATACATGGAAATCTGTTAGAAATTCTCAAAAAATGATCTGATCCAGCTCTAGCCAAGATTAATTGCTCCCTTTTAGAAAGAAAAGCTGAGCTCAACCATTGGGACTCTGCATTCCTGCTCTTTGTCCTCATTTTTTCTTTGTGGTACATTTCTCTTCAGTGATTGTTTTAGTATATAGTATATATATTTTTTGTACTGAAAATAGACATTTTATTTTGTTTACACAAGGCACCAGTTTCAAAATACAAATCGTATATATATAATATATAGATATGATAGACCAGAAAGCATAAATATACAAATACAAATATATAGAAAATGTCACTGAGTTCACCTTTCGTCTTTCTGAATCTTTATGTCAAAAGAATCCATTGTATGTAATATCTGTTTGCTCCCTTTCAGTGCATGCAGAGCCCCTAACTGGAGAGAGTTGTTAGGAGTCCAAATGCTGTTGTCACCCTTGTAGACATCTCCCAAGCCAGGAGTAGCCTCAGAACTCTCTTAGAGCCTCAGGTATATTTCTTTTCTTTGTAAACTGTAAGTCTGTATGAGGGACAGAGGAGAGAGTCAAGCCGAAAAGCTATTTTGAATGACTGTCATCATGAAATGAAAGTCCTGATAGGAAGATCTGAGTTCTTCGCCATCTTCTGGGAAGGCCTCAATTGCTGGAAGTTTAGGAACTCAGCCCTACGCCTAGGCAGGGCAGGGCAGACAGCCCTAAGCCAGAGAATCTGCTCATACAGGAGGCACGAGGCTGGCACTGTTGATAAAATGAGGCCAGCATGTTTTCTCATTCTGGCAGGATTTTTTCCCTGGCACCTGGAATCTTTTCTGGGTCCTTTTTGGCTAGAGTAGAGTTGGTGCTTTTGCTCCATCCTTCACTGGCCTCGGGTTTCCCCTGGAGGTTCCTAGGTCGTGTGGGTAGTTTTCCGTGTCCTATTCCTTGCCGTGGTTTCCACCAGTCATTGGCATATCTTCCATTTCAGTGTTGGGTGTCTGGGAAGTTTGCCTGTAAGGCAAATAATTCACAAGTTTTAAAAAGAGGAGAGAGTCGTCTTCAAATTGAGTGAACAGTTGCTATTGAACACTCAGATAGCAAAAACTTAGGTTGCCTCCACTCGCAGGTAGTATTTAAATCTTATGTTGGTATTTTAACTCCCCGTTCACCAAAGATTTACCAGCACTGTTGGAGCAACTTACCCTTGCTTTGCCAACCCTCTGCTAAAAAGCAGTAGTTCAGATAGTGGGAACAAGAGTAACTGGGAGCCCAGCAAAGCCGGACATGATAATATTTTTATTATTAAAGTATTATTATATACAATCTTATGATGGTTTCACATAAACAGCACTGTGGTTTCAGCATTCACCCATATTATCAAGTCCTCACCCCCACCCATTGCAGTCACTGTCTATCAGCATAGTAAGATTCTATAGAGTCATTCATTACTTGTCTTCTCCATGCTGTACTGCCTTCCCTGTGACCCACCTATATTGTGATTGCCAATTATAGTGCCCCCTAATCCCTTTCTCCCTCCACACCCACCAACCTCCCCAACCCCTTCCCTTTGGTAACCAATGTCCCTTCTTAGTGTCTGTGAGTCTACTGCTATTTTGTTCCTTCAATTTTGCTTTGTTTTTAAATTCCACAAATGAGTGAAGTCTTTTGGTATTTGCCTTTCTCCACCTGGTTTATTTCACTGACCATAATACCTTCTAGATCCATCCATGTTGTTACAAATGGTAGGATTTCTTTTCTTTTTATGGCTGAATAATAATCTACTGTGTATATGTACTACATTTTCTTTATCCATTCATCTATTGATGGATACTTATTTAGGTTGCTTCCGTATCTTGTTTGTTGTAAATAGGGCAGCAATAAACATAGGAGTGCATACAGACATGATAATACTTATAAAGTTTTTAAAACAGTTCTTGGCAGTTAATAAGTTAAATAAATAAACAAAAAAGTACATTAATCAGTTCCTGTTTAACCAAGAGTAAGGGAGGCAGGACGGTCTTAATTCCATGTTTCCCTGTTGTTGAATAACATCGTTTTTTTTCTCTTTGTTCATTTCTAAGCCTAAGTATCTGAGTCGGCAATTTCTTCCATGAATTATATAATCTACCTCCTAAAGCTAGGCAACTTTTCAGGACATTTTAAAGTAACCACTTTAAATCCAAAGAAAATAAACACCAATTTGAAAAGATACATGCACCCCTATGTTCACTACAGTATTATTTACAATAGCCAGGATGTGGAAGCAACCTAAGTGTCCTCCAAAGGATGAATGGATAAAGAAGATGTGGTATATACATACATACATACATACAATGAAACGCTAGCCATAAAAAAGAATGAATTCTTACCATTTGCAACAACATGGATGGACCCATAGGGTATTATGCCAAGTGAAATAAGTCAAAGACAAATACCGTATGATTGCACTTATATGTGGCATCTAAAAAACAAAATAAACAAGCAAAACAGAAACAGATTCATAGATGTAGGAGGTAAAGTGTTGGTTACCAGATGTGGGGGGAATAGGTGAAGGGGATAAAGTTATACAGACTTCCAGTTATAAAATAAGTTAAGGGGGCATAATGTACAGCATAGGGAATATATCATTAATATTGTAATAATTTTGGTGACAGATGGTACCTGAACTTAGGGAGCATTTCATAATTTATAGAAATACCAAGTCACTGTGGTTATACCTGAAACTAATAGGATATTGCATACTAATTATAATTCAGTAAAAAACAAAGCACTTAGACCTCCTTGGACTGAGAGCTTAACTATAAATCAGGACTGTAGACCAATTTACTGAAAATAGTTTTCTCAGAGCCAATTTGATGAATGACAAATCTACCTAATAACCCATTTGCAAAAGATCAGGTTGATGGCAAGAATGAAATCACCAAATGACCAAGTAGACATACTTACCAGGTTTACTAGTTCTTCAAAAAAGTATGTGTATGAATAAATCTTAATACAGTCAGTAAATATTGATATTTTCCTCTTAGAATATTGATTGCCAATATATACCAAATTTACAAATTCTTTTTAAGAATATATTTTTAATGTATTATTTTAAAATATTGCATAATATTCTCCTTTAACATAGCAATGAATGTAGTCAGTCATTATCTCTTAAGAATGTAACTCTAAAATACAATGTTTTATGTGGAAATTAGTTATGATATTTCAAAAATTCTTTTAAAAGTCATTTTCTATTTTGCCAACATTTTAGCATTTTTCAGATTGTTTTCACAAGTTTTTGAGTAATATACCAACCTTTGTTCATTTCTAAGATATCTGTGAGGGTTATGGTATTTCTTTTTGGTTGGGCAGGTATTAGCAGGTTTTGAAGATTTATATGAACTTTTATTTTCATTTTGCCTTTATAGTAGCATATCATGGAATGTTCGTTTTGTCAAAGATAAGTCTCAAAGGGTGGTATAATCTTTATATGATATACATGGCAAGTATGTCAATATACGTACTGATATAAATATTTAGAAAAGAATTATGACTAATAACAAACTATAGTTTCAACAAATATATATCTGCTCATTGTTTAATGCTAGGAAGGATCCAGAAAAACCGTGTCAATGTGGAATGCTGAAATACTTACTACTAATTAATAGAAGTACAAAATTAATGCTCATATGCCATTTGAGGCTTAAAGCCTCAAAAAGAGTTTTAAAAATGCCTAAAGGTTAGAAAAATAATAAAAACCGAAATTTCAGCAAGTGGCAGAAACAATCTTATAAATGCCGAACTATAGATTTTAAATTATTAGAAATGTGAAAGTAAGGCCAATATGAACATATTGATATGTCCATATTTAATGAGTACATTCAAGAAGAACATATTCATGAATATAGCATAAAAACTACACATCCAACACATTGATTAATTGGTACATTTTTTTATTCTGTATTGGATTTTTGTAAATTGGCCATGAGCTTGAACTTTCCTCGTGGCCAACATAGAAGGGCTAAGCGTCAAAGCCTACCTCTCTAGCCAAGAAAAGGACTCTTCCTTTGAGAGTACAGGCCCAAAATCATTATGATGCAGCTCTTTCTCTGAAAGAGGCAAGAATCTTGTCCAGTGTGATTTCCCTGTGTTACTCACCTTGATTTTTTGTAACATACCAGAAGAAATGCAACACATACTCCACAAAGCACACCAGTAGGTATAGAGATTGCCACTGTAAAAGAACAGAACTAAGCTGGTAAATGCAAAAAGTCCTGGTAGCAATTAATTTCTAAGAATCTGAAGATTCTTTACAACTTGGATTCCTACAGAGAGATTCAAATGCCTTCCCAACCTGCTTACTCTTGTGAACTTTTCTTGAGGTCCATGAAATACAAGTCTATTCTATATTTGGGCAAAAATGTACTCCTTTTCCACTAACACTGAAGTTCAAACATCCCCATTCATGTCATCACACATCTCCTGCTCCTAATCCTCGTCCTTCCTGATCAAAGTGACACAAGTGTTGGGGCAGGAACAGAAGTAGTTAAGAGGGGCAAGTAAGACCAGAGATAAGAAGCTGGTGTGGAAGTATGAGGACAAGGAGGGTAGCACTTCAGGAGAAGAAATTCCTGCCATTAAATCCAAAATCAAAGAAATAGACAGGGTAGGGGTCCTCAGTTGTCCCTTGGCACAATGTTCTCTTTTCTTAGACTTCACAGAATCCTGATTTAGAAACAATGGCACTGTGTGCCATTTTCCTTTCAATTTCCTTGTCATCATATTTTTGTTTTGCACTTATTATGGCAGAGGAAGAGTGGTAAGGAGGAAGAGGATATGTTAAAAGAGAGGGGTTACAGATAAGAGGAAAATAAGGTAATGGCTTAGGAAAAGGAAAAACAGATGCTTTGACCCAGTTGAAAGGGACAACATGGAGTGGTGGGTAGATTTCTGGGTGTAAGGCCAGCAGCCACAACAGAATTTGAGGTTTGTTAGATAGAATAGGCTGTTCATGTGGAAGCAAGAGGGCTTGCCTTGAGTGCAGGGTGAACACAACAGGTTTTATAACACTTACATTAATAATAGGATCCAAGAAGATTTGGCCAGTTTATCTTAATATTGTGAAATCTCCCTTCAGAAATCACCTGTGCAAGATGACAGCCCTGAATATCTAGGGAGCCAGTAGTCTCACTATGGACCATGGGCCACTAATTTTCCAAGACTGTTGAACCTTCCAGACCTGCACCTATACAAACAGTACACATCTTCCATGGCTTGACCTTTAAAATACAGCTCTATTGAAAAATAGCTAAATATAAGGATATGGGGAAACACCCAGATTCTCTGCTATGTAAGAGTGTAAGTGGTGCAGTTTTTTAAGGGCAGTGTGTTAGAGTAACATAACAAAAGCTCTGGAGAAGACCATACTCTTTGACTCTCTAATTCCACCTCTAGGAATTTATTCTAAGAAAATGAGAAAACATGTACAGTAGTTTTTAATTGAAGTATCGTTTAAAATAATTTAAAACCCAAGTTCATTCTGTGAGGCCAACATCACCTAGACAAGGACACTACAAAAAAAAATTACAGAGCAATATCCCTGATGAACATAGATGTAAAACTCCACAACAAAATTACTAGCAAACTGAATTCAAAATAAAACTAAAAAGATCATTCACCAGGATCAAGGAGGATTTATCCCAAGTATACAAGGATGGTTCTATATTCATAAATTGATCAGTGTGATACACCACATTAACAAAAGGATAAAAACCATATCATCTCAATAGATGCTGAAAAAGCATTTGAAAAAATTCAACAGCCATTCATGATAAAAACAACAAAATAGGTATAGAAGGCACATATCTTAATATAATAAAGGCCGTATCTGATAAACCCACAGCTAACATCATACTCAAAGCTTTTCCTCTAATATTGGAACAAGACAAAGATACCTACTCTTACCATTTTTATTCAACATAATTCTAGAAGTCCTAGCTATAGCAGTCAGACAAGAAAAAGAAATAAAAGGTATCCAGTTGGTAAGAAAGAAGTAAAATTCTCACTATTTGCCAATGACATGATACTATATATAGAAGACTGTGAAGTTTCCACCAAAAAACTATTAGAATTAATAAGTGAACTCAGTAAAATTGAAGGATACACAACATACAGGAATCAGTTACATTTCTGTATACAAATATGAACTAGCAGAAAGAGAAATTAAGAAAGCAATCTCATTTATGATTGTATCAAAAAGAATAAAATACCTAAGAGTAAGTTCAACCAAGGAGGTGAAAGACTTGTACTCTGAAAAACTAAAAAAAACCAAAACTGATGAAACTGAAGACAACATAAATAAATAGAAAGCTATTCCATGCTAATGGATAGGAAGAATTAATATTGTTAAAATTGCTTTACTTCCCAAAGCAATCTATAGATTCAGTGCAATCCCTATCAAAATACCAATGGCATTTTTTACTGAACTAGAGCAAATAATCCTAAAATTTGTATGGAATCACAAAAGACCCCAAATAACCAAAGAGATCTTGAGAAAAAGAACAAAGCTTGAGGTAACATTCTCCCTGATATTAAACTGCTACAAAGCTACAGTAATCAAAACAGTGTGGTAATGGCACAAGAACAGATTCATAGGCAAATGGAACAGAATAGCCCAGCAAATAAACCCATGCCTAAATGGTCTATTAATAATATATGGCAAAGGAAGCAAGAATTTACAGTGGGGAAAAGATAGTCTCTTCAATAAATGGTGTTGGGAAAATTGGACAGCTACCTACAAAAGAATGAAACTGGATCATTGCTTTCACTAGTCACACAAATAAATTCAAGTGGATTAAAGACCTAAATATAAGACCTGAAACCATAAAACTACTAAAAGAAAATGCAGGCAATAAACTCTTGAATATCAACATTAGAAAGTTTTTTCTGAGTATGTCTCCCCAGGAAAAAGTAATAAAGGCAAAAATAAACAAGTGGCACTACATCAAAATAAAAAGCTGTAGTGAAGGAAGCCATCAATAAAACAAAAAAGGCAACCTACTGAATAGGAGAATATATTTGCAAATGATATATCCAATAAGGGGTTGATATCCATAGCATATAAAGAACTTATATAATTGAACACCAAAAAAAACCCATAATCCAATTAAAAACAGGTAGGGGAACTGAATAGACATTTTTCCAGAGAAGACATAAAAAAGGCCAATAGGCATATTAAAAGATGCTTAACATCACTAGTCACCACCTCACACCAGTCAAGAATGGCTGGTATCAAAAAGACAAGTGTTGGTGAGGATGTGGAGTAAAGAGTACCCTTGTACACTGCTGATGGGATTGCAAATTGGTACAGCCAGTATGGGAGTATGGAGGTTTCTTAAAAATCTAAAAATAGAAATACCATACAACCCAGCAATTCCACTTTTGTGAATCTACCCCAAAAAAAGCAAAATCGGTAACTTGAAAAGATATATGCACCCCTATGTTTATTGCTGCATTATTCACAATAGCCAAGATAAGGAAGCAGCCAAAGTGTCCATCAATAAATGAATGGATAAACAGATGGTACATATACACAATGGAATATTATTCAGCCATAAAAAAGACCATCTTGCCATTTGTGACAACATAGATGGACCTAGAAAGTATTATGCTAAGTCAGAGAAAGATGAAATATGATACGATTTCACTTATTTGTAGAATGTGAAAAACTAAATGAACAAAAAAGTAGACTCAAATGCAGAAAACCAACAATTAGTTACCATGGGAAGGGCGGACTCATGAAATTGGTAAAGGAAATGAAGAGTTATAAACCTCAAATTATAATTTAGTCACAGGAATGGAAGTTCAGCATAGGGAATATAGCTCATAATACTGTAATATCTTTGGTGACTGATGGTAACTACATTTATGGGGAGCATTTAGTAATATATATCTAATTGATAAATCACTTAAGTTCACCTGCAACCAATATAATGTATTGAACCTTAAAAACATTTTTAATGTTAATCTTTTATAAATAGAAAATTAATTAAATAAAATGTAGTATACCTATACAATGAAATGTTATTCGGCTTTTAAAAGTAATGAAATGAATCTGTATTTATTAACATGGGAAGGTGTCTATAGTAGTATGTTAAGTGAAGAAACCTGGCTGAGATAAAAACGAACCAAAACTAAAAAAAAAAAAGAACCAAAACTAATCTCCAGTCAGCCATGTATATGTCTATATGCACACAAGTCTCAGAATAATACCAAAGTATTAAGTAATGGTGGGATTGTAGATAATCTTTTTAATCTTCTCTCTTTTTAACTTTTTTCCTGATATTTTATCAATGATACATAATAAGAAACAATAAAGTTATAAAAACAAAACTAACTACCTGCATCTTGGCAAATAAAAATAAGCATAGGAAAGTTCCAAAAGAAGTAACAGAAAATCTGGGGAAATGAGTGAAAGATGTTTTAAGTTTTATGACTTCAGATTAATCATCACTATGACTAAAAAGTATTTACTTTAGAGGAGATGTTGTAGCCTGTGGTAAACTGTTTCTTCACACTGACTAATCAGCTTGGCATAGATTTTCCTTTCATGGGGAGATTTATGGGAAAAGGCAAGTTGATGTAAACTATAGTTCTACTTTCACAATTCTTCCTCATGTTTCTTTTTAATGAAGAGTAAAAACCCCAGACTCCAACTCAAGTGAGAAGGGGGCTCCCCAAGCCAGTGATGCAGCAAAATAATTTGAATGCAGTGACTTCAGTGCAGCCCCTTGGCCTCTCCCTCAGTTATATCCAGGCAGAAAAGAAATTGAAAGCACATTCGTTAAAGCAATGGATGAGCTATCACCTGCAAGTCCCCCACCCTTTTTTGTTTCCTAGGGGCTGGATGAATTAGAGGACAAGGAAGAGAAAGACATTTGGTGAGATAGAAGATGAGAGGGGAGGGGAGGAGAAGAGAATAAGTGGATCATTGCACAGAAGGCCAGGAGCACCCACCTCTACTTGACCCACAGTGCCTGTTGGGTTCTAGGGCGGAGAAGGTGGCTGAGACCACTAGTCAATGGATAAGATGTCTTCTATAAATATACAGGGAATGCCCCTGTTCAGCAGTACCAGCAAGCTGGGCCAGCCAGGGCCTTGTGTTTCTAATGTTACCATGACCAGAGTGCCGTGTGCCTGCTTCTGACGAAGGCAGATTTAAAAATGATCAATTCTTTGTTCCCGGGCACTGGTTTCTTTCTTTTACTGTTCTAAGCACACAGGAAGGGTCATGTTTATAGTAGGCACTCAATCAATTAATTGGATTAAAACCTCAGCATTCCATAAGGTGAAGTACAATTAAAATGCCATTTGCTTTTTAATGAGAAATCTGCATTCTATTACAGCTTAGGACCATACCTGGCCCACAGTAAGGACTCACTTAATATTGAATGGATAGGTGAATGATAAGATACAGAGGCAGCTCCTGTCAAAAGCTGAGTATAGACTGAAGCAAATTATTTCAAGTATGAAAGAGAGTGGTGTAATACAGTCGGAAAAATGAGCTCTTCACTCCTAGTATACTAGTATGGATTTGGCAGTGTAAACACTGTTGTAGATAACGTTTAGAGCCTTTCATTTGATAATCAGGAGTCTTCAAGAAGAGCCTAGTCAAGGATAAGACCAGATACTGGATTAATTGAATAAAGTTATTGATTAAAAGAACTGCCAAGTGAGCCCATAGATATTTAAGACAATTAAATGATGGATCACACTTCCTAAACAAAAATGTTGAAGCCCTGCAGTCTCTGTGAACAGTGCAGGGCTAACACCCTGTGGAACACAGATGCAACTCGTGGCATAGCAGCAGCATTTTAATGACAATAGCACTCACTGTGGTATAGTAAGTCCTGGACAAAAGTCCAGCCCTACCTAGTAATTGAAGAGCTGGGCAAGGAGGTCCTTTCTGTGATGCATCAACTCTCTGGTTTTGCCATCAGTAGCCTGACAGCGAGCAACTACCAATATTAAGATAGTTATGTTAGAATTCCCTAAGTAGGGTGGTCATGAACTCATTATCTACACGGAGACAGTTTGAGACTGAAAGGGGTCGCTGTTAATGACCATGCTGGGACAGCAGGCATAAGTCAGAACTGTGTCATATCCTGGGACTTATGAGGGTCCCCTTAGCATAAACACCACTGGGACAAAGAAAAGTACTTACCAGTCACAGCTCTGGAATTGAATGCATATGTACCTGCCAAGAAGAGATTGCAGCTCAGTTATTGCTGTAGTCCTAAAGGCACCTGTTTCTCATTGAGCGGAGAAATTCTGGGCATTTCGGCTCCCATGTTAAAGCCTTGAGATATTCACTGGCAAAACCAAACTCCCTTTAGCAAAGAACCAGGTAATTCATTTCAATGCTGGGCCATGCTTAAGAATCAGATACGCACTTACAGAAGATGCAGAATACTGAGAGCTTCTCTAGATTGCAGAAAGCTTCCTCCATCCTCCCATATTGGGAGGAGACAGATAATCCGATTTATGGCAAAACCTCTGCCATGCAGGTTACTGTGGTGAGCCTTGTCACATCTGGGAGGAGGATTTTCTCTCCCAGTTGGACTGAGCCAAGGCAGAGCACAGAGAATAAGAAACAGAGCAAGGAGGCTGTGGCAGAGAGCAGAAGGCAGAAGGTGGCTGAGTTGCCTTGCCTTTGGATTGGATGGTATAATACTAGGCAGTTGCCTTGCTGGAGATCTCCAGCCACATCTCAGAAACAGCATGTGGAAGCTGACCTCCCCTAAAGTATGCAAAGCTGGTGTTAACCTGACCTCCCCTAATGTATGCAAAGCCAGTGCTAACCTGGCATCTCCTGCGAGGTGGAGGGAGTGTGTTCCAAGATCTTTGCTGTTGTCTGAGGTGGTACTTGGGAGGGCTCATTACTGACTACCTCCATGGTTCCTGCAGAAGGAGGTTTTGATGGCATCAGCCTGGAGCCTGGTACAATAGCTGGCTTTGTGGCCATTGTGGTGTCTGACTTGGAGGTAAAATCTGGCTCTGTAGGGAAGTGCAAGACATAGAGAACATAAATGTTTAGAATCATGTCTTTGCTCAGCTCCAGGGGAATGGACTGGCTCCCTGCTCTAGTGAGCCCTGCTGGGGCGAGCCCTCCCCAAGGCGAGCCCCTCCCCCAATCACACTGCTCCATGGTTCTTTGGGAAGATCCCTTCAGTGGGCAACATTTATTCATCCATCTGGAATGTCCATGGGACCTTTGGAAAAACTAGAGGATTTATAGTTAGTCATTATGGTGTACATAAGTTAAAGACCCCAAACATTTGAGTAGATCCAGGCTTATTTACTAAAGAAGGCACTTAGGACACTGTGAAGACTCATCTCAAAAAAAAGAAGTGGAACTATATTTGCCAAAGACATCTGGGGTGTGGATTTTAATTTATTTCTTAAATGTTTGCACAAAACTTTTGAAATAGGGGGAAGCCTGAGATTCAGCATGCCTGAACTTTAGAGAACATATTTGAGGAATGTATCCTGGTTTTGCCCTAGCCTCAGCCAGGGTGGCCTGCCTGTGTTTAGGTCAGTATTGTCCCTGTTCTAACTGGCAAATGGCTGCCCTCAAACTGTAAGCTGTGGGGGTGTAACTTCACTATTCTCTCCATGAAAAATAGGTCCCCATTGTGATAAAGTACTTGGGTACTTGGGAGCTGCTGCCCTGGAGCAAAGGGGTAAGCAAAACAGCACTGTGCTCCCAGCAGCTTCGGCGGCCGGGCCACTGTGTTTGGAGCTGCTTTCCCTCTCTTCCAGCCAGTTGCTGTGAGAAGTCCCTGTGCTCTCTAATCTTTGTCAGTACCTCCCACAAACCTCATACTTCCCAGGCTGCCAGCTCCAGGTGCTCTGCAGATAGAGCATCCATGAGCCCATGGCCACTTCACCCCACATCAGAGATATGCTCTCACATCTGAGACTTCGACTGCACAGTTTCATCTGGCCACGTGTGTAGCACACGAAGGCAAGGCCAGGAGAGAGGCCATTTGATTATCTCAACCATTGGTGAATGAGGTGTGACTCAGATCAAAAGAGCTATGGAATTACCCCAAACTTAACTAGCCAGCACCTCAACATCTTCCTCAACAAACTGGGAAGAAACTTCTCTCTGGCCTCTCCACCCTCCCTTCAGCAGTGATTCTCAGCCTCAGCTACCTAAGAGTCATCTAGGGAACTTCTAGAGCCCTAATTCCCAGACTGCTCCCCACACCAAGCAGCGTTCCAAGGTGATCTGTGTGCACCCAAGGTTAAGAACCAGCACTCCCGGGAAGGACCTGGGCAGTGCAGTCAGCAACAGGCCTGCAAGGAAGACCGTGTCTTTTGAGGGTCAGGAAAATCCACAAAAAATCATGAGCTAAGTGTAAAGTAAGGGTATGATAGGATACAGGGCACACTGACCCTAGATATTTAGCATCTTAGATTTCAAATTTTCTTAACATCAGGACAGTGCTGTGGAAATTGGAATAGATTACCAAAGACTCAGTAGAATACAGAACACTGGCAGCTTTGTGCAGTGCCTCTGTCCTGCAGCAATTGGTTAGGATTGTTGGGAGAAGTTCTGCATGTCTTGCCCGCAGAGGCACTGACAGCCCTTTCTCGGGACTTTCTCTTCAAGGATGTGTACACAGCCCTGGAAGATGGAGATTGTGCCTCCCACTGGAGCTAAGGGCAGAGACACATTCAGCCACTTACAAAAGACTGGAGTGCCATGGTGCAGTCTGCTCCATGTCCAGGCCTCTGTTTAGGCCTACCCGTGGGACCTGGGCATGAGGGACTTGATGCCAACATGCCAATGCCCCAGCTGCCTGCTGTGCTATGTAAGACAGTCTTTTGTCTCTGAGCCAGAAGGGTCATGTTTTCTGCCGGCACCTGTGAAACCAAGGTGGCTGACATGGAAGGCAGGCAAGACCTCGCACCGTCCAGAGTTCTTGAGGAGAATGTGTCTACACCTAAATTTGATCTGGCATTTCAAGTGTGGATTTTGGACCATTATTAATTATGCACAAATGAAACATGGATATCAAGCAACTCTGATTTAAAAGAGAGAATTAAGCTAATACAAATTGCTATTCTTCAACAAAAAGTGCGTTGTTATTAAGTTTGTAGTAACACTCCAGCAATGGCCCACGAATCTGAGGGATTTGGGGGGCCCTGAGAACTAGCAGGAATGGGAGCCCTCACAGAGTTTCCCACATGCCTACCTTTTCCAGGAGGGGAAGGGCTCTCTGGCTCTGGGGTCACCCTTGCCGGCGCTACTGTGGAGGGTGGCCTTTGGTGAGTCAGGGAGGGGTCTCCTAGAGAGAGGATAACCACATGGCATTTATGATCCTGAGGGTGGAACCTGGCTTCAGAACTGGATATAAATAAAGAGTAAATGTTTGAATTTAAGTGGACATATCTGACTTCCTAGGATAGATCATAAGAAATCCGTAACAGTGTTTCCCACTCTGCTGTTCCATGCAAATGCAAACAGACTGCAAACTACTTCTAACCTTTCAAAAAGACTGCACAGGTTAAGTGTCAAATGTCTTTAGTTTTTGGCTGTAATGATAGCAATGATATCAACTCAGTTTAAAGTGCTGGCTTTGCATGGGAAAATAAACAATGAGTAGATTCAGATTTTTTTGGCAGAGAAATAATCATTCCAAGCACAAAAAGTTGGGAAAAATGAGGAAGGGAGTTGTTAGTGGTAAAAGGTGGGGAGCCTTTGGGTTAGATGCAAACTAAAGATTCCTCCTGGCTTTCACTTCTGAAAGTATGAAGGTGTACTTTCCCTTCTCCCCACACCCCACTACCCTGTTCAGAACCCACACCTCTTCTCCATCCAGGATTCATTCACCCAAAGAAATCAGAACTTTCTCTACTAACCCCCCAGCCCCCAAAAGCCCTTATTTTTGCCCCTGAATCTTGGGTTCCATGGTTCCCTGGACTGGGCAGAGCCGGCATTGTCACCATAATGTTATTGTCATGCTCATTCTCACCCTGCTCATCACTTCAGTGATGCCTGATGCCATGGGGCCTGTTCACCAGCCAAGCAATTCCTGTGCAACAAATAAAAGGCTTCCTTGCCCTGCCTGTGTTGTCTCTGTGGACGGTCCCACAGGGAGAGAGAAGGGCCCAGGGTGATCTGAATACTACATGTTCAATGGGCAGGTCTGGTTCCTCAAGGAATCCTACAGCAGAATGAGTTTACTGTAGAACAATCCCTTTTGTCCGCTTCCCCAAGAGAGAAGTTGAGAATTTTCACAAATTTATGTGAGAAAGTATCTAGTTTACAGTTGGACATGTACCAAATATGCAAGAAATGTTTCTAAAATCAGAATTCTCTTGGAAGACCTTGGATTAATCTTTATTTTTCTGAAGTAAGGGGCTTAAAAGGACACTGTTGGCCTTCACTCCAAGATTGGCTACTTCTGGCATGGTTATACAGTTATGGGTGGTTAACAAAAATTTGATTCTGGCAACCTTCCCTCACACTTGCTCTGGGGCACTGGCTGGACACCAGACATGGGTGACCAAGCTAACAGAATGTCTGCTCCATGGGTCTCCCTGTTCTGGGTGGGACTGATGGAGAAGAACAGCAATTTCCCTGCAGGCTGTCTTCTAGGGGAGAAATCAGGAAAGCACTCTGGGAAGCAGCATGCTGTGAGCACATCCCCTCGTCTAGCCAAATTCTTGCTACCATAATCTTAAAGCATTGATGGCAGTAATTGTTAATATCTAACAGGGTTCACATAATCCTCTTACAAACCACAGTGTTGACATCAGGTCCATTCCGTAGATGAGGAATTTAGGGTTTCAGAATATTAAGGCTCTTGCTCAAGGTCTCACAGATGGTAAGTCGTAAAGCCAATTGAACCCAGAATTGTGTGACCCCCCAAGTCCCATGTATTTCTACCTCCCTAAGGTGTTTAGAGGCTCACTGATTTATTTAGCCTCTGACCTCAACACAAATCTCTTGGGCCCTAAGATGGGCCCATTCAGCTTCCCACACTGCAGTTCTGCTCTCTGAATTGGCTTCGCAAAGGGGCTGGAGAGACAGAGCAGGATGGCTACTTACTTATGCACTTGAGATTGGGAATTGTCCAGTGGGCAACGTTCGTGGTCTCGTTAAATACACACTCGATCAGGCTGGACGTCCCGGCTTTACGCTTGAAACCTGAGTTACAAATGTACCGCTCCCTGGAGCTCAGGTTGTAACTCTTAATCCGGATGTTTGCGTGTTCTACAGACGTGGGAGTAGGGCACATGATGCCTGCAGAAGTGCAGATAAGGGGGAGATGCACAAGTTTCAGCTTGTTCAGGGGCATTTTCCAGGAAATGCTTGAGTCGTAGTCAATAACTCTAAAGCCAGGGTCTGACTTATTCTAAGGGACCTGTTAGGATACACTCCAGATGCCATGCACAGGGACAATGTTCAGTAATGGTTCCTGTTGTCCAGAAAACTTCTGACCCTCAGTAGAGCTGGAACCTGGGGAGTCATCTGCTTCCCTCACACTTCCCATTGGTCTCAAACATCAGTATGTTGCAGAACTATCCATCTCTCTCCCCCCATTCTGTACCCACCCCTAGACCAAGCCTCTGAGCTCTCTTGCCTGAACATCAGCAATAGCCTCCAAATTGGTCTTCCTGCAAGCCTTTAGCCCATTACCACAAGATAGCCACAGTCATCTTTAAAAATGCACCTTTGATGACTTCACTCTTTCCTGGCTACCTGCTGCTCTCAGCATAAAAATAAAAGCCCATAAGAAGTCTTCAAGACTTGGCCATACCTGGCCCTGCCTGCCTCTCTAGATACTCTTCCTGCTGGCCATGCTGGCCTTTGCTTGCCCCTACACCCATGCCATTCACCATGCCTACCCCCTGCCCCACTTTGGCTGGCCATCACCTGCCCTTCTTCCTAGATTACTACAACATCACTTCCTCTGGAAGCCTTCACCCTCCAGCCAGCCGGTCCCATAGTTGTGTATTTCTCTCCCCACATGGGCACTTTCATGGTTGTATCAAGATACTGACATGATGGAAGGACAGTACATCTCACCATCTGCACTATGAGTGATAGGGGTAGGGGCCAGGTCTGTGTGCCCAGCACCATATTCCCCAAGCCGGTACAAAACCTGGCAAGAGTACGTGCTCAAGAAATGCTTGTTCAAGGAGTGATAGGTGAAATTTTCCTTAACAATAGGCTAAGTCAGATCTTTTTACCTAAGTGAGTTCCATATATTTCATTTCTACATGTGTAACCATCTTGTCTGGTTAATCTCACTTTTTTGGAAGAAGCCAGAGGATTGCCCCAGATGGCTGTATACTTTTGTGATAGCTGCAATTGGACTCAGATTCTAAAACTTCAGCTAAAATCCTGGCAATGGGGTTCTAGCTCTGTTCTGTCGAAATGACAAGTGTTGCAAGTTTGTACCTAAGTGTATTGGCCATTTTAGGGACGCCATATTTATCAATGACTTTTTGTTGTTAATTGTTTATTGCCTCTTGATAACTAAGACGTGGGAGTAGGGCACATGATGCCTGCAGAAGTGCAGATAAGGGGGAGATGCACAAGTTTCAGCTTGTTCAGGGGCATTTTCCAGGAAATGCTTGAGTCGTAGTCAATAACTCTAAAGCCAGGGTCTGACTTATTCTAAGGGACCTGTTAGGATACACTCCAGATCCCATGCACAGGGACAATGTTCAGTAATGGTTCCTGTTGTCCAGAAAACTTCTGACCCTCAGTAGAGCTGGAACCTGGGGAGTCATCTGCTTCCCTCACACTTCCCATTGGTCTCAAACATCAGTATGTTGCAGAACTATCCATCTCTCTCCCCCCATTCTGTACCCACCCCTAGACCAAGCCTCTGAGCTCTCTTGCCTGAACATCAGCAATAGCCTCCAAATTGGTCTTCCTGCAAGCCTTTAGCCCATTACCACAAGATAGCCACAGTCATCTTTAAAAATGCACCTTTGATGACTTCACTCTTTCCTGGCTACCTGCTGCTCTCAGCATAAAAATAAAAGCCCATAAGAAGTCTTCAAGACTTGGCCATACCTGGCCCTGCCTGCCTCTCTAGATACTCTTCCTGCTGGCCATGCTGGCCTTTGCTTGCCCCCACACCCATGCCATTCACCATGCCTACCCCCTGCCCCACTTTGGCTGGTCATCACCTGCCCTTCTTCCTAGATTACTACAACATCACTTCCTCTGGAAGCCTTCACCCTCCAGCCAGCCGGTCCCATAGTTGTGTATTTCTCTCCCCACATGGGCACTTTCATGGTTGTATCAAGATACTGACATGATGGAAGGACAGTACATCTCACCATCTGCACTATGAGTGATAGGGGTAGGGGCCAGGTCTGTGTGCCCAGCACCATATTCCCCAAGCCGGTACAAAACCTGGCAAGAGTACGTGCTCAAGAAATGCTTGTTCAAGGAGTGATAGGTGAAATTTTCCTTAACAATAGGCTAAGTCAGATCTTTTTACCTAAGTGAGTTCCATATATTTCATTTCTACATGTGTAACCATCTTGTCTGGTTAATCTCACTTTTTTGGAAGAAGCCAGAGGATTGCCCCAGATGGCTGTATACTTTTGTGATAGCTGCAATTGGACTCAGATTCTAAAACTTCAGCTAAAATCCTGGCAATGGGGTTCTAGCTCTGTTCTGTCGAAATGACAAGTGTTGCAAGTTTGTACCTAAGTGTATTGGCCATTTTAGGGACGCCATATTTATCAATGACTTTTTGTTGTTAATTGTTTATTGCCTCTTGATAACTCTGTCTGCATCCTTGGAAAAGCATATATATATAGACATGTAACATAAATGTTAAAGACAAGTTGACTTTAATGAGTCACAGGAATACTTCAGACTTCTTTTACACATTATGTAACAACAAAACTAGCAAAAAAAGAAAAATCAATTATTTTTTTCCACTAAGCAAAATGAATGAAATTGGTGTGTACTTAATGTTGTGGATCCCAGGAAAGAATCTATTTATAAGGTCTTGATAATAGTTAAAATAATGTCCTCCTTGGCACCAGTTTTGTAGGTTGGGGCTCCATGAAAAAAACGCAGAAAGGGTCCTTAGTTCTTAAAAGGTGAGGACCCAGCCAGTATATTGCTCTCCTGCTTTTCCTCCAAACCAGTATTCTTGATCTAGATGAGGTCCCGTTCAATTCCAGGGTCCGTTACAGCTAAAGTTAAAAAGCAAGATTTTCTTCAGCCACTTGAAACAACTGTATGATTTTTATACCCATTTTCATATAATTTAGTACATTATGAGGGTTTCTTGTGTGCAGAGAAGAGCAAGAACTGGCTTCTGAGGCAGAGCCCTGCCTGGGGCAGTGGAGGCAGCTGAGAGTGGGCAGCATCATAGGGAAAGTCCCAGGGAGGGAAATTCCTCTGCTGCATTTTCCATTGCCCTGTAGCTTGCAAGGACGTGTTGAGAAAGTATTGCCCTCCCACCATTAGTTAAGTGTGTGTATGTGCTGAGTGGTTCATTGGCTGAGGTGCTGGCAATGGGCAGCCACCAAGGTTACTGAGTCAGCTGTAAAGCAGAGAAGTCTGTGGGCTGCTTACAGCTGCCTGTGGGGCTGACTTTTTAGTTCCAGGCCAGGAAACCTGAATAAGTCTCTGCTGAGCATCTGGGACACCAGCAGATGAGATTTGGATTTGAAAGAAATGAAGTAATCTTTCTGCCATGGAGGGTAGACTGTGGGAGAGCCTGAATATGGTGGCAGTCAGAATCACAGACCAGAATAGGAGGGTCCCCTAATAGTGTCTGTGCCAGGGGTCAGCAAGCTATAGCCCATGGGCCAAATCCAGCCTGCCATCTACTTTCATCAAGGTTTTACTGGAAAACAGCCTTACTTGGTTCATTTACACACTGCTGATAGCTGCTTTCACACTACAGTGGCAGTGTTGAGTTGCGGCAACAGAGACCAGATGGCCCACAGAGTCTAAATTATTTACGCATTGGCCCTTTTCCAGAAAACGTGTGCAACCCCTGCTTTATGCAGCCTTTATACAAACCATCTCCTTGTTACTAAGACCAGTTGCCCGTGAGTCAGCTCAGAATTGGTGCAGTCCTCAGTAAGTGAGGGTGACAAAGGTAATACAGCCCATATAAAAATAAACACATTTTCACATGGCAAAACCCAGTGTAAGTCAAAAGGTAAATAACAAAATGGGGGAAAAAATTGCATCTCTTATCACATAGGGCTAATTTCTCTCATATGCTAAGTGCCCCTGAAAATCAATAAAAAAGACCACCAATCCCATGAAAATCAGGAAAAATACATAAATAGGCATTTAACAGGAAAGAAAATACAAATGGTTTTCAAATATATAAAAAGATACTCAGCCTTATTCATAATGAAGGAAATAAACTACATAGGATGGCACTTTCAGTGTCCAAACTGGAAAAGAGTCCAAAGTTGATTAATATGCAATTGCTTTCATATTGCTCATACAGACCCTAGTGAGGGCATATTTGCAATCTAAACACACATGCTTTTCCACTGGGCAATTCTGCTTTTAGGAATTATCCTACAGATACACCTGCATACCTGTGAAACATTATAACCCTTATGCACATACCCTTTAACCCAGCAATTTTCCTTCTAAGAATGTACCTTAGAGACAGATATACTGGTGTATTTATGAAGTGAGGATGTACAAAGTTATTGATTGCAGTAGTGAGTACCTGTAAATTATCTTGTATGTTTCCAGCTGGAAACTCAATAAATTACAGTACAGCTGCTCAGTGAAGAAGTACCACCCAGCCCTTTTCAACAGACAACAAAAGCTCTTAATTCTTTTTTTTTTTTTTCTTATTCAAGAAACCTCCTTATTCACCCAGGTAGGAAGATCTCCAAGTTACACTGTTAGGTTAGGAAGAAAAGGAACAGAACACTGTGTGTTATGTGTTATGGTGAAAGAAAGAAGAAACAATGCCTATACATAATTTTTTGTCTGTACATAAAGTCGCTGAGAGGATATACAAGAAAGTCTTAATGCTGTAGGTGAGGCTGCTGAGAGAAATGATGGGAGAGACTTCTCACTGAATTTCTTTTTTTTTTCTTTTCTTTTTTAAATTTCTTTTCAAACTTCCTAAATGTTTAGCGGTGCCAAAATTTTACCTGTTACAAATTTTTACTGTTAAATATGCTTTGAAAGACTTTGGAATGCTCTGTTTCATCAGCTCTATGTATCTGGGTGTTCATTATTCCTTTTCATATACATATATGCTAGGGTGAAAATATATT